TTGTTCTGTCTGACAGGCCTCACAGTCAGTTATCTGATGCCGTCGGCCACCAGGCCCAGGGCCTGCAACTGTACTACTGGGTGTTGAAACGAGACCTTTCTGACAGGCTGCGTGGCCACTCCTCAACAACTGGCTGCTTCAGAAGCCGTTCCTCCGAGCGCCTCAACGCTCACAAAGCTGACTCACCGGGGAGTCACCACTCCAGCAAGCTCGGCTGGCAGGAGACTCCGGCTACAAGTCCTGAGGCGGCGGCTTTTCCATTACTCCATTCCCAGCTGGCGGGGAGGACACATCACCAAAATAGGAATTTCTCCCTCAACGTGAAACCACGGAGACTAGTGTGGCAGCCCGCGCACCAGTGGCCGTTACCCACTGGGACATCCCCCACGGTCCCAGCATGCTCCAACTCAGCTAACGGAAGCCAGGCACCTTAAAGCTGCTACCTGCTGCACCGTCAGACAGTCACCCTATGCCAGAACCCGAACACACGCAGGGCCAAGTCGGCCAACTCCAGAATGGCCTGTGATTACTGAAGTTACAACAGCAAACTCTAGTAGAACTTCCACCACCCTCAAACTCTTTCCTGAAGTCTGACTTTAATCAGAGGATCAAGGAAATGGCCCGATTCCTGAGAGAAACACAGGGCTGATGGTGCTCATGGCTTCCCAGCTTCACGGCCATGCTGCCCATCACGTCAGACTTCAGTTATAACCTTATCGTGACAGAAAAGGAATGCTGGCAGAGAAAGCCACGCAGCAGCTCGAAAAGCAAATAAGGCATCAACCACAAGACAACAATAAGGTGAAAACACACAGTGCCACAGAACCCAAACCTTAACGTTCTGCCTTACCCTGAGGAGAAGCTCTCACGGAATAATGGTTAAAGCATTTGGCTGCTAACCAAAGGGTCGGCAGTTCAAATCCACCAGCTGCTCTGCAGAAGAAAGATGAGGCAGTTTGCTTCTGTAAAGATTAACAGCCTTGGGAACTTTATGGGATAATCCTACCCTGTCCTCTTAGGGTCACCATGAGTCGGAATTGACTCAGTGCAACTGGGTTTGGTTTTGGGCTTTGCTTCTGTAAAGATGACAGCCTTAGACATCCTGTGAGGCAGTTTCACTCTGTCCTCTAGGGGCACTGTGAGTCAGAAGTGACTTGATGGCATGAAACGTTTCTTCTCAGCACTCCACACACTGACCTCCTATATCCCCATAACAACCCTACCCACCACCCGTCTGTCAGTTGTACTGTGGTGGCTTGCGTGTTGCTGTGAGGCTGGAGGCTATACCACTGGTATTTCAAATACCAGCAGGTCGCCCACAGTGGACAGGTTTCAGCAGAGCTTCCAAACTAAGAGACTAGGAAGGCAGGCCTGGGGCCTATTTCTGAAAACCAAAAAGCAAAAATAAACAGAAATAGATCCCCTGGTAGGTAGGGTTGTGTGGTGGTTATGTTTGTGTGTCAGTCTGGCTGGGCCTGGCTGAGTGGCTGGGCAGCTGGTGGTAGTTATTCCCCGTGATGAGACTGGCAATCAACTCCATGGTGGGATCTACCACAAGCAGCTGAGTAGCTGCTTTGCGTATGTGGTCTACTTCCTGTATAAAAGCAGTAGCTTTGGGAATGGTCTCTAACTTTGGCACGCTTGGACCCTGCATATGGCTTTGTCATTGTTCAGCAGCCTGCCATGCTCTGACAGCCTTGGGACTTACAACAGACTTAAATTAATGGCTGCTGTGCAGTTTGGTAACATCGGGACTGTGCCTTTTTACTTGTCAACCTTGGGTTTGTCAGCCTCAGCAGCCAGCAGCTGTCTGAGTGAAGAAACGCCTCTAGCTTCAGTGGGCCGGGAGCAGGAAGCAGAGCTGGAACCCAAGGTTGAGGGGGCTTTCACCCAGCCCCTAGAGCCTGGCACTTTGGACTTGGACTTAAAGCCTCCAAACTGTGAGAGAATAAACTCCTGTTTGTTAAGGCCATCCCATTGGTGGTATATATTCTTGTCAGAGCGGCACTTGGGAACCAGAACAGGTTGAAAACCCCGTGGATCACACAGAACACTGTCTGACACAGTGATGGAAGTTGTTCAGTGCACAGCTGAGAGTCAGTCAACGCAGCAGCCACTGAAGCAACAGCCACCGCCCAGGACCGAGATACCACAGTGAGAAAAACGAGGCAGGGCGAAACGGCTCCCGGGCCAGTGACAGACCTTTCTCAGCTCCATTCACCCTGTTTTCTGCTCTGTTGAAATGGATCCCAGTCCTGCACACATCTGCCCTTTGCCAGCTGTACCACATGGAGCTGGCCAGTAGAGGGAGCTGGAGAGACACTGGCTGCTCTCCCCAGATGCCCGCTGTCAGCACCAGGCCCCTGGGAGGCAGCACCTCCAGGGGGCATGTGGAGGCACGGAGCTGACAGACCTGTGCTCAGTGGCAGGGAGAACCCGGAGGCAGGGGACCCGGACCCGCCGGGCGCTGGGGGCGTTTCGGACTGAGCTCTCTCTACAGCGGCTGCACCAGGGACATCAAATATGCGCTTGTTTTTATAACAATTGGGCTTATTTTCATTTTTATTGTTAAAAACAAGTTTGTTCTTACTCCCCAAACACACGGGTACAGATAGCAGACTTTGGGAATGTCTCAAAGAACAAATCAGACTTGGAGCCGTTTGGCCTTTTTTTTTTTTAGCAGCAGAGCCTGGGGTGAGGGTGGGGGTAGAGGTGTGGGGAGAAGACGGTGATGTTTCTATGCTTTTATTCAGCTGATTCTGCCCTGGCTGCATCCTTTAAACAGCCTCCTTTTGCTAAGGAAGAGGGTGCCCTGGGTGGGTGGGGGGCGCCAAGCACGCCAGGTGACCAGGCAGCAGACTGTCTGCTCCGAGTATCACGGAGTCCAGAGAGGTTTCAAACATACCAAGGGACACCTGAAAATCTGGGGCTCACCGGGGCGGCAGAAGGAAGGATTGGTACAGACAAGTGATAGATGTCGATCCCAGGAATTTGATGACAAACGTCCCCTAGGCATCTAAGTGCACTGGAGCACGGAAGGCCTTCCTGCCCAGGTGGAAAGAGTAGAGGGAAAACTCCGATGCCAAGGGCAAAATTCCAAAGTCAAAGCTGGAGGGGTGTGCTGGCGGTCACAGTGAGCGCGGCCCCTGCCCCAGGCAGGCGCCGACCGCGGACCCGCTTCCTCCCACGGCTGCTGCCTCGGTGTGGTTTGGGTTGGTAACTCCGGAAACTTTTTTTTTTTTTATATATATAAAAAAAAAAAAAAAAAAAAATCAAAAGTAGATGAAGTGTTTTTGTGGAAGGAAGATGATGTGAAGTTTAATGGCTTGTCCAGCGTCGAAAGTCATCCCAGATCCCGTGGTGGGGCTGGCAGGGCCGGCAGCGTCAGACTGCGTTCCTCTGCAGGAGTTGGTGCAGCACTTGCTGGAGAGGCAGGGAAACAAAGATGCCACGTTCAGACCCAGCATGCCCACGCCGCCCCCGTCACACCTGCGGGCAGCCGAGCCGTTACCTTTTTGAAGACTTCAGCGCGGAGTCTGTTACTTTGTAAGACCACCCTTTTCTTCTGTTCTTCTTTCTTCTTTTTCACTTCCGGCAAGTTATTATAGATTCTGAAATAGATGCAGAGAGCATGAGTGGTGGTGTGACAGCCGTGCCCGTGCTGGTGACATGTCCCGTCTTCTCAGAGGGCTGACGCTTCAGAGGGAAGATGATTTGCGGATGGGCTGCCCCGGAACCGTGAGACCCGGAACCGAGGGCTTCCCTGACGGTCAGGAGAACGGGGCTGCTGGGGGTGACGGCGCCTTGTCCTGGGCCTCCTGGGGCCAGCGGGGCATACAGAGCGCAATGCTGGCAGGCCCTCCGTGTTCAGCCCTCTGTGCTCCGGGGCGATTAACCACAAACATGCTTGCCTTCCACTCTGAGCCTTAGCCTGGCCTCCAACACCTTTCTGAAGATGTGGCCCATGTCCTGGGTGTTTAAAACTCTTCTGTATATCGTCATGGTCATGGGGCACATGTGACCTCAGGGAACACTTAGGTATCGACATTGGTTCAGCAACTGTAGCAAACGTACTGCAGGAGTGTGAGGTGTTAACAGTGGGAGAAACAGTGTGAGGGCCGTGGGGACAGGAACGCTCTATACTTCCTACGCCATTGTTCTGTAAACCTGAAACTCCTCTAAAAGGTAAAGTCTACTGAAAATACCTTTTTGCTACTTAAATTCTGCCTTCTCGTGACTTAGAAAAGCAGGAAACATGAATTTATACTGGAATAAAACACGCGTGTTTGTGTGTATGCATGCTTTCACCACTTAACATACTGCGTTTCTAATTAAGCTGCTTCCAATGAGATCTCAGACAGACATCAAGATGTCCTGTCTTGTCCAAATGTAGGCGGGGAGTGGCTAAGTTATGAGCAGGATCCAAGGGCGCTTCTGCTAACCCCGTCTTTCCCAGCTCCAAACAGCACCGTTCACGCAGCAGTCCTCTCACACAGCGCGTCACCGCAGCCTGAGCTCCTGGGATGCCACCTGCACGACACTTAGCTCAAACCTTTGCCTTTCTCTGCTGCTTGAAAACCAGATGAAATCTGTTTAAGATGATCCACTGTTCAAATAATAATGACCCAGACTGAAACCAACCACGACAATGTCAACATTAGCAGGGGATGGCGTGGATCTCAGGCACGAGGCTAATCACTTGAATGAATGATCCTGTTTGATCTTCACAACCACAGGAGATGGGTAACAGCCTGCTGCTTATCACGGAGCAGACCAAGCCCCAGAGGAGTCAGGAGACGGCCTGAGTCCTTGCTGATTCATGGCAGGCTGGGATTAGAACACTGGTCTGTTTGACTCTGACTCCCTACATAACACTGTTTCCCAACCATGTGGCCAAAAACCCACCCATGAAGTCCAGGCAACAATTGTGTGCCCGCAGTGCCTGGCACACTGTGGGCATCTCTATGGTTGGAGGGAATGGAGGGGTAGAGCAGTGCACAGTGGCACAGGCAGGGCTACGGGAGAGAGCATCGGGGAGACGGTGAGGTGTCAGCAGCCAGCACACCCCAGAGGCCTGCAGTGGAGGTTCCTTAGACCCGTGCAGACCTGCATCCTCACCCCGATTACCTGCAGCATCTCTGGAGCTTCTAGTAATGATCCTGGAGCTTCTGGAACAGTCAGGGGTGAAAAGAGGGTCTGCAGTAAACGGTGGCAAATCCTTACGGTGGAATATTCTGCAGACAGTCAACACTGATGAGGAAAGTGGGCTCTGCCTCTGGCCCAGAAGCTGCTCACAGGCATTTTTAAAGTAACAGAAGCAAGCTACTGTACAGGAAGCTAGTGTGTGGGATGATCGCCTTTGTGGTTAAAAATCATGTAACTGTATACACACAAATACAATTCTATTTTAAGGCAGAGAGAAAGGCCTGTAGGAACACAGAAGACGCTGATAACTATGGTCATCTCTGGAGACAGGACCAGGAACTGGGTGGGAAGAGGTAGGTAGCTAGCCATGGCGGACTTCTAGTTTACTTCCTTTGTTTGAATTTTTAAGATGGAAACAGAATTTAACAACATAATTAATCACACAGGATGCAGAAAAACAGCTTCTTCTGGGTGATTCTGGGCCTGTGTGAGGGTGGGAGTCGGGGTCAGAGGTCAGCCAGGGCCCAGGCCACAGACTCACTCACCGAGTCCATCAGAGACCTGGCTTCAGCTCACAGGTGCTAAGGCCTGGTGGGGCCGCATTCCCTAGCTCATCTGTCCACTCTGACCCTCGGTTTCCTCTTCAGTCAAAGGATGGGGCCACATACCACTGGTGCCACTTTGAGATCTAGTTTCTAACTGCTCAGCTCGCAGGACTCCACTGTAGCCGCCTTGGGTTTGGGGACCGGGAGGGGAGGACTTGGCTGACAGTTTTTCTAAATTGGAAAGGGAATGCTTTTGGCATGAAGCAGACACAGCCCATCACTCCTGAAACAGCAAGCCTTAAAACCAGTGGCCCTTTCAAAGCCCCAGCTAGGATGCTATGAATAAGGCTGGTAATGGGACTCCCCCTTCTCCTCACCTTCACTTCCTTATTTACACAAAGACTCCCTACAAATACTCACCACTGGCTAGTGGTCATGGAGACAATCCAATCGTACAGAAGCAGAGATTGCACCTGGGCGGGGAGCAAAGCATCCTCTCTCTGACTAGTGCCTGGAAGCATTCCACCAAGCTGATTCATTATCAGAAATCCTCCGATGCCAGATACTTCATTATAAACTAACAACACTGGGCTGGCATGAAGTTGGCCAACACTATGACATCCTGGTTAGGAGCCAGGTCTGAGAAGAATGGCAGCCTTTATGGGCACAGGCCAGAGGGAATTCACGGGCGCCTGGGCACCGCCCAGCCGGCAGGGCAGGGAGTGTGTGCAGGCGTAGCAGGAGTGCCCGTCTGGGGCCTTGCTGGCTCCCACCTGCCATCGGCTTTCAAGTTTGGGTCCTTTCCTTCAAGGCCCACCACAGTCAAGGCCCTCAGGAACCACCCTCTCTCGTCCTCATAAACAAGGCTTCAGAGGTACAGTGACAAAGGGCACCTGCCTGCAGCAACAGTGAGAAGAAGGAAAGGTCCAGTTGAGAGTCTGGGCATCTCCCAAAGACCAATCCCGGGCCAATTCAGAACCCAAGGCCTAGCGCTTTCCTAAGCTCATGCCAAGAGCGGCATAGCCTCTAGAGGTGAGATGTGACAAGAGGGTCCTTTCAGCGAGCTTTTCGGGTTTGTGGCCAAGACAGACCTTAAACGTGGATCTGGAAATAGTGGTGCCGCCAACACCTCAGCCAGCCCCGCCTCTCCCTCAGCCCAGGATTCAGGCCCATGGGCCCAGGACACACTTTCGTCCACATGGTGGCTGCTCATGGGCTCCGACAGGAGCAGACATGGCTCCACGTGACATAGTCCCCAGTACCTTTTAGACCGCGTGTACATCTCCTTCTCTGAAATGCACCTTTCTTTAGGCTTGAACAAGTTATCTGGAAGAAATGGAGAGAGGCGTGACTTCAGAAGGCAGAGGATGCAGCACTTTTCTGGGGGAGCACCGTGGGTGACTCAGCAGGTGCTCTGTTATCGATCTTCATGTCATCAAGTCAATTCTGACTCACTGCAACCCTGTACAGCAGAGCAGAACTGCCCCATAGGGTTTCCATGGCTGTCAATCCTCACAGAAGGAGACTGCCTCATCTCTCTCCCACAGAGTGGCTGGTGGGTTCCAACTGCCCACCTTCTGGTTAGCAGCTTTAGCCACTATGCAACAAGAGCTCCCACTCTAAACCATAGGCTTTTTCAAATAACAGACTCCTCAGAGGCTCAGACCCATAAACAGCTGTATGGATGGCTCGACCAACGGCTGAGTGAAAACCGGAAATACATGGCTGGCGTCTAACCTGCAGGAAGCACGGGGCTGATATATGACCTGCAGGCAGCACAGGGCTGGTCTAACCTGCTTCACGCAGCGGCTTCTTGGGGTGTTTCACTTAGTGCCATGGTTTCCTGGTGGAAGTGCTAGGTGGTGTTGAGATGTGCTTCAGCAACACCCTGGGGGCAAGGCCATCTCAGCCACGGAAGAATCTCCACGCAGGTTCATGATGCCTTTGGGACAAGGCCCCCTCCCAGCTGTCCCAGAGTTGGAGAGCGGGAGCTTTGGCTCCTGTCTGTAGCCCTCTGGAGAGCAGGGGTACTCAGCCTCTACCAGGTGGGGATCACCTTGTCCTCTTTCTAACATCTGAAAACAAAACGGATGGCAATGGGGGAGTAACGTGCAGTTAGCATCTCCTGACTGAGGAAGTACTCAGTGGGTAAAACATCATGAACCTGGATGGCTTCTCAACATCAAGTCCACATTCCTGATCACAACAGTGTTTACAGGGAGCTCACCTACAACGACACTGCTAACAACATAGTGCTTACGGAACGGGCCATTCCCAGTAACTCTGAAGTCCCCTGGGGCTCTCAGGGCTACAGATTTGCCAACCAGTGCTCCCAGGCACTTGTTGCATGGGGACACGTCTGAGTAGCCGGCACGTTTTCGGAATACCTGGATAGTGCCCAGCTCCTCCGGCCTCATTCAGCAGAAGCAGGTGGGGCACCCTTGCTAGCCTCAGAGCGAGAGTGCACAGGGAAGACTCCAGGTGGGCCTCGTAGCCTCCCACACAGAGGGAGGCTGTCCTCCCTGATCAGCCCCCCCACCCCCACCACGGTTTGGCTGTTCTTCCTCCTCTCTGGAGAAGCACAACTGCTGATTACTAAGCAGAAAGCAACACAGTGGCTGGCATGGACTCTGTCTAGTTATTTAAACACAAAAGATAAAAATGGCCCCACTGTTTCAAAGACAAGATTCAAGAGAGAATAGGAGAAGGGTGACAGCAACCAGAAGAACGTTTTTCCAACTAAAGGAACATGGTACTAGGCTTTGGGAAGAGGCCCCAAGAGCAGGGAGCCATCAACACTGATATGACAAGCCACCTACTGCATCTGGGGATAGGCTAGGGCCACAGAAGAACCCCAATGTGCTTCCAAGGAGCTGGGGTATCAGCAAGGCCTTGGCAAGCAAATGTCTTCTTCCCAGAAGACTCCCACTCAGGCAGGGAGAAGGGCCTCCGACCAAGAGTGAGACTGAAGTCTGGACCGGTGTTCCTTGGGAGCCAATCAAGTTTAGGGCAAGGCCCAAGCAGATATCCAGGGGGTGTCCCACAGAAATGAAACATTACAAAGGACGTCTGAAAGACAGTCACAGTGGCCATTCAGTTCACGTGGTCTACTCCATGACCTGGCTGATTTTTCAGTTCATTTCTTTAAGGCACCCGCTGCCACAGTTAAGCTCTGGTGCTGTGTCCGAGAGGAAACACTAGCCAATGGGAGTGTTCTGGGACCTCCACTGCTCTGTTTTCTGACGTCTCAGCCTGCTGGGGCATGGCAGACGGTGAAGTTCTGGGCCCAGCAAAGCAAGCAGGGCCGTATCCAAGAGGGTCCTGGGCAGCTGTGGCCTGGGCTCCACACCATGGGGTAGTGTTCACATTGGTTGCTGTTGACTTTGAGTTTTCTTAACAGTATCAAGTCCTTCTGATGAACAGAGAGAAGTGGGAGGGTTGGGGACTCACTCTACCGTGCACTTGGAGAAAGAGGAGTTATGGGGTTGAGGAAAGAAGCCAGGAGGACTTGCAGGTATTGGATGTGAGTGACTCATTCATCCGATTACTGCTCCTTTCTTATCTCCCTGGTGCTGGGCAGGGGGACACAGAGAGAAATGAGACGCTGAGCTCAGAGTCCAAGGTGAGAGCTGGGTATATGGGAGCTTAGGGGCCAGGACTGTGACCTGGAGGAGAGGGGAGGCCTTAGGGAGCAAGTGGTCAAGCCATCAGGGAGGATGGGGGCCTGGGAAACCCCACTGCAGGAGACAGCAGGGCTGAGTCTGCCCCAGACTGTGTGGGAGGAAGGGGGTCCCTTGGGCCACATGGCCCTGCCCGTCATGAGAGCCAGCTCTGCAGGTGTTTGCAGCAGGACTCCCTGGGATCTCATATCATGGGCTGGGAAGTCTTCCTGCTGGTGTTTTGCTGAAGAGCAGTGCAATCAAGGGATGGACTCCCCATTCGCAGAGACTGTCTCCGTAGCCCCAAGTGCCCAATGAGAGCCACTCACAGCCTGCCTACGGCTCTGCTGAGGCTCTCCCTTGAGGCTGCCTCCTGTACCCCAACACAGGGATAAGGGGTAAGGGGACAGGGCGGAGTGACTGCAGCTGTGTGTACCTCCCATTATCACTCAACATCAAAGCTCTGCTGGCAGAGTGGTTAAAGCACTCAGCTGCTGACCGAAAGGCCAGAGGCAGCCAACTCAAACCCACCAGCTGCTCCATGGAGGAAGATGAGGCAGTCAGCATCCCTAAAGATCGACAGCTACGGGAACCTTATGGGGAAGTTCTACTCTGTCCTATGGGGAGTCAGAATTGACTCGATGCCAGTGGGTTCTCTGGTTTGGCGGTGCAGTGGGTAAAGTGCTTGGCTGCTAACTGAAAGGTGTGGGTTTAGAACCCACCACCTGGGAATGTGCTCCTGTGAAGCTTACAGCCAAGAAAACCCCAGGACAGTTCTTTCCACTCAGTCCTACAGGGTCACTGCAATCAAAATGGACAATGATCGTTCAAATGGAGGTGCCATTTTTTTTTCAATAAAATGATGAAGGTAAATTACCCATCTCTGTTATTTCTGGAAAACACCGCTCTCCTTTTTTTTTTTCCCCAGAATGTCTTGCTTGCTGGCTCATCACTGCATCCCAACAAAACGGCTGGTAATTGGCTTTGGCGGGGCCTAAAGGCTTGCTTAAGCCCTTGCCTGTTTTCAAGTCAGGAGGCAGCACCGTAGACTTTGGCACTCTGGGCCACTCGGGGGCAGCAGCTGAGACAAAGCGGAGGCCCGACAGCCCATT